ACCTAAGGACCTCAAAGGCCTCTCTAACTATAAGTATTCTCTTCTACATGATGACATACCTGACCACCAAGGCGGCGGTACTGCCATTTGTTACAAGAAGTCACTTCACTACTCCCACATTCCCACTTCACCGCTTACCGATACGGTATGTAGGCTAGCCTTGTCTAGACATCATTCCATTATCCTAGCCTACAGTTATATGCCTAGCGGAATCTTCCTCCCTAAGAGCGATTTCGAGGCCATCCTCGCAATAAGCATTTCAGTCATTATGTTTAGAGATTTTAACTCAAAGCATACTAAATAGACCTTTGTGACTACTACTCGTAGTGGCAAGGAACTCAGTCAGAACTCAACCTTAGGGCAATCGAGACTCTCGATGATCTAGGATCCGACCACCGTCCTGGCTCCTCCAACTCCCTCCTCCAAAACCTACACCAACTGGAAAGGCTTCAGGGAGTCCTTCGCCCCAGCTATGGACTCTCCAGACTCCCCATCACCCTCTTTCGATATCCTCGACAGCACCGTAAAAATAGACACCGCGGTCTATACTCTCAACACCCTCATAAAATCCTCCCTTAAGGCAGTGGCGAAGCTTCCATTAAAGCCGAAAAGCCGGGCTTGCCTTATTAAACCTAAATCAATCAATAATATCCATCAATAATATCAACTAATAAAATAACTCGTAAAATGTTTCAAGCTATTTCAAATTTCCCGCACACTCCAGCGTCCACCGAAGCTATGCAATTGCTGATATGTAATACAATCTATCTAGCAGTGGTATGCCTTCTATGTGCTTTGTTAAACACGTCCTTGACAGCACTGAATATGAAACTGAAGCGTGGAGACAGGTCAAGATCTCATCAGCCACCTCAAGACCATGGGCAAACTCGTCAAACGCATCATCTTCACTTGCATGAGGCACCATCTGTTTTCCACATAAGGTAACCCTCTTGTCATTCCTCACCAATTTGGTTTCCGAACGAAACGCTCACGCCCCCAACAAGTTCACCGTATAGTGGAATATACCCACAGCGGTTTTTATCCTCGTCGGTCTTTTTCGACATTGCTAAGGCATTTGATAAAGACTGGCATGAATGCCTTATCTGCAAACTACACAATTTAGGCCTCCCCGATAGTCTTGTCCGTCTCGTGGCTTCCTACCTGAAGGACCGTACCGTTTGTCTTAAATACGAAAACACGCTCTCCGCTCCGCATCATATCCAAGCCGATGTCCCTGAAGGTTTCGAGCTTGTCTTTCTCTTACGTATACTGTTCACCAACTATACTCCCATCCCATCGAATGGTGCTCAGCTCTCACTCTTTGCTGATGACACAGCACTCAGCGCGGCAATTCACTACTACAGATCCGGAACAAAATCCAAAATTCAGTTAGTGACTTAGGAGCTTGGTTCCAAAAATAGCGTATCGATGTGAATCCCGAGAAGTGCTCCGCCGTTCGCTTCGAACATAAACGACGTCGCCCTACTGCCATTCCGCCAATCTGGATGTCCGAAACTCCTGTTTCCTGACAAAAGACCGCCTAATTCTAAGGCGTCACCCTTGACACAAGGCTCACTTTCGAGCTCCATGTCAAGAAAGTAACTTGCACCGCGAAATTTTACCTGGGTAGGTTCAACAGCATACTGGGCCGACACAGTAAAATGTCTCTCCGAAACAACCGAACCCTTTATAAGATCTGTCTCTGTCCAGTCATGAGATACGTGGCCCCCATTTTTGTTTATGCTAAACCTAGCATTCTAAACGAACTTCAAATAGTTCAAAACTTTTTCTGACGTCGGGCTATGAACGCACCCTGGTTTTTCCATGACGCCGACCTTCACCGGGACTTAGAGCTCCCGAAAATTCAACAAAACCTAACATCACTCTCTAAGAACTTCTTCAAAGCCTCAGAATTGACTCAAATCATCTCATTCGTGAGACAGCTTCCTATGCAGCCCCACTTCCCTCTCGCTATCAAGATTGCAGGGCGAAAAACTCTCTCTCGGACCCCCCTAAAAGCTTACGGCCGACCTGGACTGCCTCCTGGTGGCTCAGGCCGAGTCTTCTCCCAATTCGTAAGCTACCTTAGTTAGGCACGCTCTCAGCGGGCTACTAACCGCCTGCGCCTCCTTTCCTCAAGGGGGTCGCTTCCGATAGGGGAAAAAGGCCTTACCAGGTCAAAGCCAGTCTCAATTAGTGTGGTATAATAGACATATTAAACAAAAATATATATTAGTCATTGTTTGACATGTCATGTTGCATGAATTCGAAATGTCACCCTATCCTATAAAAAATGTTCGTTTTACTAGAAAAGGCGATTAAAATATTAGTTAATATCTGGTTAGATATTTTCTTTCTTACAGATAAAAAAAATTAATCACTACCCCCTCTAGAATCATTTGATTTTGAAGGGGATTCTCATGGTATTTGCGCAAAATGGAAGAAGTGGAAGCGGGGATTAAACATTTATCTAGAAGATGCAAACATTGAACTACCCGTTAAAAAAAGACCTACACATGGGTGGCCTATTTTTTCAAGAAATGTAATATAATATACCCCGAGCCCATGTCAGTAGTAGAGATAATCCAACAAAGGATATTTATATTATAGATTTTGAAATGTTAGACTAGTATATTGCTCCAAAATGAAACAAAGTGTACGAGAGACAGTTATTTCAGCTAATGAAAAATAAATCTGGAAAAAATTTGCAAATAATTCACAATAATACATAATTATACATAAATTAATACATATATATTGAAATTGACACATTGTATGATGAAGTAGTTTTCTATTTTGGCATTTTATTCAATTCAATTCACATTTAATTATTGTCTATATAATTTGCCATGAGCAAATGAGCTTTATGATGTACCTGAATTATATTTGTCACCTATTCTTATGCTCATGAATTCAATAAAAAAATAAAAAATAAAGAAGAAAGCATTATCTATCAAATTACAGAAAAGCGTTATTTGGGTGAGCTTCGTATTTTTTTAAAAAGGTAACATTAGAAGATATCATAATAAGAAGCAAATACTTTAAAAAGTGGACAGATTGAAGAATTTACTCACAACTCCGCATGTGATAACAGTACCGTGAGTAAAATAAGTCTAAGAAATCGTGTACTGGGTGTGGGAGCTTTAAACACATGCCTCAATAGAATGTCTCGCAAGGAAAATTAAATTTCATAAGTGCTGTATAACTGGCACTATCATAAGTACTGTTTGATAGTAAGGCCACCTAAAAGGCAATTTTCGAGTTTAAAAGACCGTACCGCCACAAAAAAAATCAAGGACGGAGGAAAAGAAAGAAATCAATTATGTTTTTCATGCAAATGACGACACTACTATTAATTGATGGGTTGGTGGTGTCAAGAGTATTGTTCGATTCAGTATGTGAATGTAATTTGTTAACCGACGTCACATGGAGAAAACTAAATAGGAATAAAATAAATGTTTTTGAAATGGATAGATCACCAAATAAAACATTTTACGCCTATGGTAGCACTAAGCCGTTAACTATTTTGGGATCGTATAAAACTCAAGTCAAAGGTAATGACAAAGGATTTGCTGTTTTCTGTATGATATTGTATTACTGTATTATATTTATGATTGTAAGCCATGGTAGCTCAGATGGTTAGCGCTCGCTGTAAATTTTACGGTACGCGAGCAACCCGGGTTCGATCCCTGCCGATAACAATGAAATTGTTAATTGAAGTGCTGATTTACCACGTGACTGGCGGTGAAAGGAAACATCTAAAAAATAAGAAAAAAAATATTTCGAATACATGTGAAGTTCGCCAATACGCATTGGGGCAGCGCGGCGGACCTTGCCCTAAAACCCTTTCAGAAATGAGGAGAGACCTGTGCCTAGCAGTGGGACATATGTAGGCTGTAACTTTACTTAACTTTTATTATATATGTGGCACTAAGGATATCTTGGGGAAAGTAATATACTTAGCATTGGGCATTCTGCGATTAGGCGTTAGAATAAACACCGTTGAGTTCACATCATATAAAATATAGCAGCATTTCCAATATTTAAAGATGTTGTTGTCGAGATAACTATTGATAAGAAAATAACGCCAGTAGGTTAATAAAAAGCTTCAATAATTGTTTGAGCTCGATATTATCGAAGAAGTATCTAAGCAGTCAAAATGGATTTCACCTATTGTGCCTGTTTTAAAGAAAAATGGGGATATTAGGATCTGTATTAATATGCGGAGAGCTATCGCAGCAAAAATTCGTCAAAATCGTCCACTACCAATAATGGACCGGCTGCTACCACATTTCAAATATGCGAAATTATTTTCTCGCTTCGATATATAAAATGCTTTCCACCAAATCGAAATCCATTCAGATACCCACTATGTCACTACATTTACAACGAGCAAATGGTTATTTAGATACAAGAGACTTATATTTGGCATTTCATGTGCCCCAAAAATGTTTCAGAAAATCACGGAACACACTTATACGGCGTGAAAGTATAGAAAATTTATTGACGATGTTGTCATTTTTGGATCAAATGTGGCATGATCAACGATTACAACAGACAATAAATATTTTGGAAGTATCAATGTCCTGTAAATAATGATAAATGTATTTAAAAATAAATTAAATAGTGTTCTTGGGACACGAGTTATCTAGTGAAGGTAAGGCCTTTAAGAAGTATATTGACAGTATCCAAATATTTAGGGCACCATCAAATATCGAGGAAGCACAAAGTTTCTTGGGGTTATTAAATTTTGTTGGAATACGGATATCAAATTTCGAAACATTCACTGTACCGTTTTGGATAATACATACTAAGGCTGAAGCTGAGGAAATATCGCAAAATTTTGGACTATAGACCAGGAAAACGCATTTGACGAATTGAAGAAAGCTCGACGCAATATGCAGTCATTAGTGTATTATGATCCAGCTGACAAGGCCATATTAATGTATCAAGCTCCCACGTGCCAAACCAGTATAATGCAGAGCCCCGAAGGGCCTTACCGGCTTTTGCAACCGTCTCAAAGCTGCTCCATTTAACCTCGTCTCCCAACTTATCGTACGAGGTAGCTGCTCTATCGCTGCTTTTGTCCGGGTCGAAAATTGGCACCGCTACGTTGTCGTACCGCTTATTTGAAACCATTGCATTTTGAATGGTTTCCAACAGCCCTTTCACCAACTCCACATCCATATTGAAATAGTTTGCACTGAAATATTTAAAATAAAATGATTAACAATACGCAAGGGCGATCTCACTTCTGATGATATTTTTATGGACAATTAAACAAAGAAATTAGCTAGGAAAAAGATCGGCTCAGTAATAAACTTAAATTCTCCTATTTAGCTAAAAGGAACTCTTAAAATATTCCTTCTAACAAGGGACAAATTATTTATAAATTTAACATTGCTAAACTACAAATGGCGTTGCTTGTGTGGTTTCTGTTAAAAGTTTTTATAAAATTGGATATTAAGCCGTAAGTTTTTACATAAACAGTTTTACATTCTAGCAAAAATAAATAACTTAGACATAATCTAAAACATTATTGTACCCGCAGGCTTGTAGTATGAAATTAATTAATTACCCACAATGTTAGAACAATATAAATTACTTACAGATTCGGCCATCTGACAGATTGTGTGTCCTGGCAGAATTAGGCAACACTTTCCTGAACACTATCTGAACGCTTATAACTAAAGTGCAGGCCCCTCTTGTCCTGAATACCATCTGAATGCTTATAACTAAAGTGCAGGCCCCTCTTGTCCTGAATACCATCTGAATGCTTATAACTAAAGTGCAGGCCCCTCTTGTACTGAACACCATCTGAACGCTTATAACTATAGTGCAGGCCCCTCTTGTCCTGAACACCATCTATATTAAGGTGCAGGCTCCTATTGTCCTGAACACCATCTATATTAAGGTGCAGGCCTCTCTTGTCCTGAACTCCATCTTAACATTTATAACTATAGTGCAGGCCCCTCTTGTCCTGAACACTATCTGAACACAACAATGCAAATTACAGCTTTGAAAACAAATTTAATGGAACAATTTCAGATTCAGATTATGATTCACTTTTTCAGTCATTTAAGATCGTATCATATGGTCTTCGAAAATTTAGACACGGTATTATCTTAGCAACTGCTACCGCAGAAAAATAATGTTTATAATTTATTTGCGGTATTTTTGACTTAATACCGGTTATGATTAAAAAAATTTTTTGATTTTTTTGTTTGCTATTTCCGGTAGCGAAAATTTGTCTCTATTCTTAATAGATCGCAAAATTTATATTGAACGGATTTACGAGGTTTATCAAAATAATTCTTTTGCGCTAACTGGCAAGAACTAATATGGGAACTTTAAAAAAAATTCTATTAAAGACAATGTGCCCGGTTTTGCATTAAGGTATTGTAAGTCACGATATGGAGCAAAAAAAATGAACGTGATTTTGGTTTATTATCGTAAGAATAATTTATATTTACCAAATAATCTTTGAATCTTATTATTTTTAGTAGATTGTTCTAGAAAGAAAAAAAATATTATAATAAGCGCCTTCTGCGATTGATGACGTGCCTAAAACCCTTTTTTACCGTTGTAGTAGCATCACCTAATGGGGAATAGCTAAAACGTTTTCCAAATAAATATTCAGCGTAGTATTGATATGTTTCACAAGTAAGAGGGCGTAAAACACGCGCGAGCTCACGGTTTTTGTATGCAAATGTTCCCTACGTCCACTCTATAGTGTATATTTGAATAAATTTTTCTCTAAGTAATTCCTTTGGATCTAGGTCATAATTTGCTCCTATGGCTATCTTTTGTAAAACAAAGATTGTTAGTTGCATTACCAAATATAAAGATTTTCATTATGAAATTATGCAATGGAAACAAAAACAAATCTAGCTGTTTCAAAACATGTAAGGCTTCATCAATTTACAGCTTTTTACTTACAGGTTGTACTAGATTTGGTAAATATATCGAGTAAGCGCATCTATCAAAACTAAAATATGCGTGAAACCTGTACTACTAATTACGATTGGTTGAACGTAGATTGTGTCAAAGGAATTTTTTTTAATAGGATGTAATAACTCGGGGTTTCTTACCACCGGACAATTTAGAATGTGTACACTCAAGGCAAGAGGTTACATAGTTTTTTTTTTAAAGTTATGCATTTTCTGGAACCAATAGTGTATTTTTTTCCGAACTAGAGTTTTATCCAACTCAAAGTGACATGATTCAGCTCTTAGGTGAAACCCACTTATAGCCCCCTGCAGTTTATCTAAATAATTTGTTGTAATTTGTTCTCTGAAGTAAATGTGCTTATAGTCCGACAGCTAATTATTTTTAAATATGTACTAAAAACACATAAGAACAATAACTGTAACTTTAAATTTATTTAAAAACTAAGAAGATCGAACTATACTACCAGATAAATTTTACTCATTCTATGCTCAAAGACAAATAAACTTTTTGGGACCTTATTTTTATAAAAATATTAGTAATATTATAACGACATATACGCTAACGCCTTTTAAATGTAAGCAAGCTCTGACTAAAATTTTTATGTCTTTATATTATGAGGAGACTGAAAACTTATTAAATATAGATAGGTAAAAATGCAAACTGTTTAAGCAAAATAACAACACATACTCATATACTACACACTGACATCTACCTATTAATTTAACACTTTGTCTAAACTTGTAATATTGGTAAGGATTAACAAATCCCCAAAAAAAATTGTTACATGTTTTATTTTGTTTCCTTTTAGAAAATGTAACAGATTCACTACTCACTACGTTTTAATTATTTTTATGTGGAATATAAAAGACATCTTGTAAACGTTTACTGGTGGAGCGTCGAGCCTAAGGTTGCCGAAGTCTAATTCCCCGGTCGAACCTTAAAACCTATTACGCGAGCTATTAATCTAAGTGGACTGTATCTACTAAATGTTTCTACACTTATATAAACGGCAACTATAGCACGCGGTACAATGCACTCGCTCTTCCCTAAAAAACGAACTATTATTTGCCAAATCGATGAAAGGAATCCTGCTTGATTAGGAGAAAACAAAATTGGAGCGGGTTAAAATACAATTATATCAAGCAGGCAATATTATTAGGAATATTGACTCACCGGGGTTCAGTCTTCTATGCTGTTGAGCACTATAGCTGCGACCTCTGGAACGTCTTCTGGACAAACCCTCTGGAGAGAGGCGGTGCGCGACTATATCTCACACGAGGTGAGGCGGGTTTCCTGGAGCTCGACTGCTTCCAGGCTAAAGCGGTTCTACTAGTGGTGTGGTTCCAATGACGAGCGCGGCGGGAAGAGGCTGCGCGTCGGTCGCGCGTGCCTTATATATCTTCGGTTCCGATGATTACGTGATGTTCTAGAATCATCTTCTTTCCCCTCCCACCCCACCACCCCGATGTGTCGATAGGAGGGTATGAATGATATCGTTTTGTAATGGGATAACCGATTTGGCAGCCTACCGTCAAATTAAATAAATACGAATGGTTTTCCGCGCAACCATCTCCCCCCGCCCTTGAAGGATTTCCTTCAAAAAATAACTAAAACAACTAGAGATAAGATCAAACTAACAAAATAACTAACTAACGCTAAGATTACCTAAATTCAACTACAATTTCTAATCTAGAAAGCTAATTTAAATTATGGAAGAGGCAAGGGGCACAAACGGACAACAGGACGCAGGTAAGACCCAACCGTGGTCTTAACGCGAGCTATCTTAATTACTCCGTCGGAACCGGGAAAGACCTCTTCGACAATTCCCAACGGCCAATGAAGAGGCGGCGTATTCTCTTTGCTGAGCACAACTACAGTTCCTACAGCTAAAGGCTCAGTTGCTGTGTTCCATTTTTGCCGAGACTGCAAAGTATGCAAGTATTCCATCCTCCATCGTTTCCAAAACGATTGCACTAACCGGTCTAATAATTTGTGGCGTGCGGAAATGCTAAGTCTGTTCTCATCCATATCTACGGCGGGCAAATACTTTAAAGGCGTTAAATTTAAAAAATGTGCTGCAGTTAGAGCCAGCGGTTCCGGGGGGTCACTAGACAATGTACGACAAAGTGGGCGGCTATTCATTACGCATTCGATTTGAGTGAGCACCGTACTTAGCTCTTCGAAGGACAAAATTTGATCTCCTATTACTCGGTATAAGTGACTCTTTAGACTCTTAATATTAGTCTCCCAATTGCCCCCAAAATGACTCGCGGCTGGGACGTTCAGAGACCACTCAATGCGGTTCTCGTCTAGAATGTGAGCGAACTCCGAATTATAATACTTGCTAGTTAAGAGTATCATGTAGTTCTGATAAAATACGTTTTGCACCGACGTAGTTCGTACCGTTATCCGAATATAATTTACTTACAGGGCCACGGCGGGATAGAAATCTTTTAAATGGACCCATAAAGCCTGCTGTGCTTAGATCACCAACGAGTTCTATATGCACCGCTCGAGTAGTTAGACATACGAAAATGCAGACGTAAGCCTTTGTGGATCTTATACCACGCCCGCGAGGGTAAAGGGCTTTAGTGATTGTATTACTCTACAAGATCTAAGTTCCGCCATTTCCGGAAATGACGGCTTGGGGCGTGCCCAAAAGCAAGCTATACATCTGTGCACCCGATTGCGTATTAAACTAGTGCAGAAAGAATCCAATAATTTTGACGCAAGATCGACATCAGCAAGTCGGGGCCAGCGTGCGAATTCAATTTATGATGGTAATCGACTAATAAATTCATGATATGGTCTTTGCGCGGTAAAACTATAGGGTGCCGTTGATCGAAACTCAACTGCGAGTTGGACAAGCGTCCACCTACCCTTACAATCCCATCCTGTAAAAATGGCTTAAGGCGTTGAAAGGCGCGACTACAAGCTCTATTCGATTGTAATCTTGTAATTTCTTCAGAGAAGTGTGTACGTTGAAGTTCACGTAATACTAGCGACTCGGCATAGTTGTAATCGGACGCTAAGACATACGAACGTCGCAGTAAAAGCTTCGCGAATCGACAAACGTAAATTACGCTACGCAATAATTTCGACCAAGAGGACAAGCGGTTCGCCAAAGCAATGATGGGAGAAACCTCGCTCGAAACGTTCGCCACTAGAGCGTGTCTCTTCTCTTCCGGCGGTTGTGACACTGACGAAGGTTCGAAATCGGTTATTGGCCATTGCGA